TTTGCCGTGTAACAAATTACTCCCAAACTTGGTGGTGTCAAACATTTATCTCAGGCTGGGGGCAGTGGCTCATGCCTGTAATCCCAGCCGTGTGGGAGGCCGAGGTGGTTGTATCACCTGAGGTCAGGAGTTTGAGACCCGCTTGGCTAACATGACGTAACCCTGTCTCTATTGAAAATACAAAAATTAGCCAGATGCAGTGGTGCATGCCTATAGTCCCAGCTACTCGGGAGGCTGAGGCAGGAGAATCACTTGAACCCAGGAGGTGGAGGTTGCAGTGAGCCGAGATCATGCCACTGCACTCCAGTCTGAGTGACAGAGTGAGACTCTGTCTCAAAAAACAAAAAACATTTATCTCATAATTTCTATGGGTCAGGAATTTGGGAGTAGCCCAGCTAGCTGGTTCTAGCTTAGATCTCTCATAAGATTACAATCAAAGCATCCTCCAGGTCATCTGAGGACTTGGCTGGGGTTGTAGGTTCTGCTTCCACAATGGCTGACTTACATGGCTGATGGCAGAAAGCTCTAGTTACTCATCACATGGAGCTTTCCATAGAGCACCTTGAATGGCATCAAGACATAGCCGGTGGCTTCCCCAGAGAGAGTGATCACAGAGAGAACAAAACAGTCTCTTAGCCTCAGGAGTCAGAATTCTTCATTTCTACTACATTATATTCACCACAGATACTTTACGTAGTATACCCACACTCAAGAAAAGGGGGGAATGAAAGGAGCAAAGAATTTATGGACATCCTTCAAAACTACCACAAGAGTTGTAATTTTACTGTGTCGTATGTGATTATTCACATGTATATATTATGTATTATGATCTATCAGGGTGGTGTCAGCAGTCAAAGTGGATTGGAGCACTAGAACCCAAAGAGGAGACAAGTCATCTAGGGAGTTTTTCTAGCTACAGAATAGGCTCTCTGGCCACACATTGTCAAATTGCAAATCTAGAAAAGGATATTTACATTTTTAAAGTTAAGATGAGAAGGATTGGACTGGCATCTGAAGTAGACAAGGACTGGGATTCCTAGAAAACATGTGGTATGAAAATACTGGCAATGTGAAACCAACCCAAATGTCCATCAGTGATAGACTAGATAAAGCAAATGTGGTATATATAGTTCATGGAATACGATGCAGCTGTAAAAAGGAGTGAGATCATGTCCTTTCCAAGGACATGGATGAAGCTGGAAGCCATTATCCTCAGCAAACTAACACAGGAACAGAAAACCAAACACCATATGTTTTCACTCTTAAGTGGGAGCTGAACATTGAGAACACATGGACACACGGGAACAGCACACACCAGGGCCTGTTGGGAGTTGGGGGTGAGGGGAGGAAACTTAGAAGATGGGTCAGTAGGTGCAGCAAACCACCATGGCACATGTGTACCTGTGTAACAAACCTGCACGTTCTGCACTTGTAACCTTTTTTTTTTTTTTTTTTTTTTTTTTAGCAGAAATTAAAAAAAAAAAAATTCGGCATTGCATATAGAGAACCTGTGTTCTGAGAACATAAGCTGTTCAGTAGTCTAGTCGGTGAAACAACAAAGACATTAGAAATTAGGCATCGATGTAGAGATGGGTGTAAAAAATGTTTTGAACAGGATTTCCCTGCTGAAGATGTAAAGATAAGACTTGATGTTCTCTAGCCTGTTGCAAACAGTCATTCATAATCTCAGTATTAGTGTTAATTCTAAGAATTAACCTAACTCTAAGAGTTAGATGGAAAAGTTAGATGGAAGAATGATTTCACTGTGTATATGTGCAGTTACCATACTCGATAGTCACTAAGTTTTAATCAGCATGCTGTGCCTATTGATTTTGTCCTCATCCTGCTTCCATGAAATTGTGTAATAAGACTTAGCCTGGTTTTTATAGAATTGACTTTTACAAGGGTAGTATAGCAGAGGAAAAATGTAATGGATCCTTGGAGGAAATACTACTTGGTAGGACTGAAAGAGCTAAAATGATATGATTTGGGTGTTTTATAGATATATTTTATAGTTGTTTTGATTTTTGAGGGGAGTTTTATTTTTGCTACTGTTAACTTGTTTTTGTTTGGACATCCCAATAGAAAACAAAGTGTACAAAGCTGTAGCTCAGAGATGGAAATTTTTAAATAGTAGGATAATACCAAGTGTCAGGCAAGGATATGAAACACTGATTTAGACATTTTTAAATATCTAATAAAGTTGAAGATGTGCATTGCTTCTCACCCAATAATTTCACTTGTAGGTATCAAAACAGTGTCTCACAGATGTTGACTATGTCCTACATTAGGTACACAGTAGCTTCAAGAAAGAATACTTACTTGCCTACTACATGTGGAGCATTTTGGTATTTTCTGTCCCATATACTTTTATGTGTTTGTTGCCACTCACTGAATCAATTTTATAATGTGCTAATGGGTCCCAATGCAGTATTTTAAAAACACTGCTCTAGGGAAACTCCCTTCACAGGGAGAAGCATACAAGAATATTCACGGAATCATTGTTAGTAAAAGCAAAACCTTGGAAACAACTTAAATTTCTATTAGTAAGATAATATATAATTTATAATATGTTTATAGAAAGAAAGAGTGGACATTGGCTAAAATTAAAACATCAGAGCTTTATAAACCAGTATGCATAAATTGCAGAATATGATTTGTGAAAAAAGCAAGTTGGAGAAGGATGCCTACAGGATAATATTTATGTAAAACAATACATATGACATTAAACAGAGATAGAATTGATATTCACTGAATCAAGGGCGGTCATTTACTCTTGGGAAGGGAGATGTATCAGAGGTATATAGGAATTTTTAACTGTATTACATTTCTTAGCTGAGCAGTGGATATGCAGTTATTCATTATATAGTTCTCTGTGCCTTGTTTTATGTCTGAAATTTTTTGTCTGAAAAAAGAAATATTCTTGTCCCACACGTGTTCAGTATTATGTAGGTCTAGGAACACCTCACAGTTTATAGTAGAGCTGCTTTTTTTTTTTTTTTTTTTTTTGGGAGACAGAATCTCGCTCTGTCACCCAGGCTGGAGTGCAGTGGCATGATCTCAGCTCACTGCAGCCTCCGCCTCCCGGGATTCAAATGATTCTCCTGCCTCAGCCTCCCAAGTAGCTGGGACTACAGGGGCGCACCACCATGCCAGCTAATTTTTTGTATTTTTAGTAGAAACGGAGTTTCACCATATTAGCCAGGATGGTCTCGATCTCGTGACCCGCCCACCTCAGCCTCCCAAAGTGCTAGGATTACAGGCGTGAGCCACTGTGCCCGGCCAGTAGAGCTGCTTTTTATACTATATTCATTATAAATGTCTAGATTGATGAAACTAAAGTGAAAGATTATAATAGCCAACATTTAATGGAAGGATTAATGGATGCCAAGTACAATTCTAAATCTTTTATTTGTATTAAGTGATTTTATTTTCGTAGTAACTGTGAGCTAGGTGGTACTATTACAACTATTTTAGAGATGAGGAAACCTAAGAAAAAGGGAATTGCCCAAGGTCACACAGCTAGTAAATAGCAAAACCAGGATTTGAACTCAGGATGTTTTTCTCCAGAGCCTGTACTTTTAGCTACTATGTTATACAACCTCTCCATGAGAAAGAGATACTATCAAAAAATGTAGGAAAACTAAAGGTTGTAATTGGCAGTATGGCTTGGGAAGAGAATGTTTTCCCCATTTTTATCCTCAAGCAATGACAGGAGCCAAGAGAGAACTGAGACTTAGAGCAAGGAATTTTATCACCAAAGAGAAACTAAGAAAAGTGCCTTAATTATCATTAAAATTTTAGCTAAAATGATAGATTATTGCCTTTTGTAAATTGGATAATTAAAAATTACTTAAAATTTTAACATTTGTGAATGGTAAATCAGAAACTTTGATGGTTGATCTACAAAAGAAAATTAGGATTTATGATATTATACTTACTATTTTCTTAAAGCTAAGGTGAATAACCTTGTGATGAAAGATTATAAAAATGTTAACATTGTATTTGTTTACAATTCACAGATATTAGAGTAAGAAAGTCATCCCAGGAGGGTTATATTGGATGCCTACTTATAGTGAGGTGAAAAGCCATCTAGGCAGTGAGCCAGAATTCTGACTTTCGGGGTTGTTCTGCCATAACTTCACAATATTGCCACCAAGATGGTTACCATTGTGACTAGAGGTGGATTATTCTTCCCTGTGTCTCAGCCTAAAAAATAAATTACTACAGATGAAAGACCTGTGCCTTTAATAAAGTGGGCTTTTTCTTTTAATTCATTACATGTGTGCTAACTTATAAAGATTCCCGATTCTGGCTGGTCGCAGTGGCTCATGCCTGTAATTCCAGCACTTTGGGAGACCAAGGTGGGTGGATCACTTGAGGTCAGGAGTTCGAGACCACCCTGGTCAATATGATGAAACCCCATCTCTACTAAAACTACAAAAATTACCCAGGTGGGGTGGCTTGCACCTGTAGTCCCAGCTACTTGGGAGGCTGAGGCAGGAGAATCACTTGAACCTGGGAGGCAGAAGTTGCAGTGAGCCAAAATCATGTCACTGCACTCCAGCCTGGGCAACAGAGCGAGACTCCATTTAATAATATTTTTTTTTAAAAAAAGATTAACAGTTCTTTTGAGAAACATTATTCTGTACTTGGATGTTTTTACTCTGATTTTCTTAGAAAGTTTAACATGTTTCTTGGCTCTAATAGTTGTGAGGCTCTCAGAAAGCTCCAAATGTCATTGTCTAGCCCAGTGAAAACAGTAATTGGGCCAAAATAGTTTCATAGAAGCTTTTTTCCCCAGTTTGGTATTAGTAGTGTTTATTTTATAGAAAACATGAAAAACAGAAGATACTTAAGTTGGAGGCCATTCAGAATGCAAATATATACAAACAGCATTAGAAATATTTATTGCTTATGGAAAGTGAGTATGAATGCATTCTAGCTTTGTATATTAATTCGAGATTGTCTTATTTCTCTCTCTCTCTCTCCCTCTCTAGTGATGCTATAGCTGAAATTAGAGCCATTTGTATTGAAGAAATTGGAGTCTGGATGAAAATGTATAGTGATGCCTTCCTAAATGACAGTTACCTAAAATATGTTGGCTGGACTCTTCATGACAGGGTAAGTTACTCTGTTCTAACTTTGATGGAAGTTATGCTTGTCTCAGTACTAAAATGCTAGGAATCAAATTGACAGCAGTTGATTTTTCAGGAGTTGTAATCATATGGAAATTTTATGATGATGCAGCTGAATAACTATTTACTTGATGATTCTGATGAAACTTGAAGCATTTGCCCACAGGTGAAGACCCTATCTTATTTAGTTACAATATTGCCTTGAACCAAGTTTGACAACCTGGTATATATCAAGTTTTCGGAGAAAGAAAATCGTTATATTCTTTTTCTAATTCAGAATCAAAGGAGAATTCTTTTTTTCTTAATATATAAAAACCAGGCTTTTTTTTTTTTTTTTTAAATTTTCTAGGACCATATCATAGTAGAGTGCTTTATCAGACTTGAATAGATTTGTTGGATTTTAGAGTATTTGATCTAAAAATCTGATTCTCCCTTCTGACTTTAAAAGGAATCCCTCATATAAGTAATCCTAAATAAGTAATCCTGAGAATAACCATAGGTAGGAGTGATAAGTTACTGGAATTTGGCCGGGTGTGGCATTTAGGTACTGTAATAGAAATACTATTAGAGTATATTAAAGCCCCAAAGTAGAGCAGTTACCATAAAAGCAACTGGAATTTTCATTCCCATTATAAGTTATTTTACAGTTTTCTGAAGTATTTTCATGGATACTACCTTATTTAATTGTTAAGAAGTTCCTGTGGTGACTTTACAGAGGAACAGCCATCATCAGCCTTTTGCTCATCCATTGTTGATCCTTTCATTATATATGTTACATAATACTTTTGTTTGCTTTCCACCTATCTTGCCTCCTAGAATACCATATTCAGTGAGCCAGTTCCATAGATCCCTATGGGCTGCCCTTTAATTATTGCCTATTACAATTATTATGTTCCCACCCCCCTTGACTGTGATGGTCAGGAGAAGCTATGTTATCTCTGCTATTCTGGGATCTTCATATTTCCATTGCTGCTGGGAGCCAAATTCTCCATTTGGTCTGTGCTGAGATTTGTCCTTAGTCTGATGACCAGGAGGAAGGTCTGTGTATTATATCAGGACAAGGGCTACTAGCATTGTCCTATAGGCACCTGCCTTACTTGAGGCTTCCATGTAGTCTTTCAGCAAAGGATGGAGTAAGGAGGAAACATATTGTCCTCTAACAAGTGGGCATGAGCCGTATTTTCAGGCCTACAAATTCAGAGGAAATGGGGAGTTCAAGATTCTCACTGCATCTACCCAGATATCCTTTAGACTTTACTTTTTTCATATCATAACTCTTATTTAGACATAAGAGGCTTGCCTGGGATTCAGAGTTCTTAAATTCTGCCACACTTACAATTTAATGCTAGGCTTGGTCTTTAGTAGCATTAGTTCTCTCTCTAAAGGAGATAAATGTTTCCAAAGAGGCAATACTTGGCTTTGAACTGGTGATGAAGCAGCCTGGCACTGTGATTTTCTCTTTAACCTTTCAGTGACACTCAGCAATAGCCACACAATTTCACAGTTTTTGCAGTTACTGTTTGCCCTGCTCCCTCCAGTGTAGAAATGTTTCACAAGTTAATGCACATCCCCTTTCAAGTAAAAGTGAAAATCCTAACAAACTGCTATCCTACATCAGGAACTATCAGTACTTCATCTACTACCATTGGGTCTTACCTAATAGCAATCCAGCCTTCAATAATCCAATCCCAGAATCCCATTATTGAAGTCTTGATTCCCAGGACCACTCTTGGTTCCAACTATCATAGGTCACATTCCCTGGATGCCAAGCCTGAGTTGGGGACTTTTGTGCTCATGATATTTCGAGGTTTGTACTCTTAAGAGTAACCTATTGGCTGGGCATGATGGCTCACACCTGTAATCTCAGCATTTTGGGAGGCAGAGACAGACAGATCACCTGAGGTCAGGAGTTCAAGACCAGCATGGCAAAACCCTGTCTCTGCTGAAAATAGAAAACTTAGCCAGACGTGGTGGGCACCTGTAATTTCAGCTACTCGGGAGGCTGAGACAAGAGAATCACTTGAACCCAGGAGGCAGAGGTTGCAGTGAGCCGAGATTGCACCACTGTACTCCAGCCTGGGTGACAGAGCAAGACTCTGCCTCAAACAAACAAACAAACAAACAAAAACAACAGGAACCTATAAAAAAGTGAGGAAAATATGACAAAGCAGGAAACAGACTAATGAAAATGTGGTTTCAGGAGAAGTCTAATCTCAGCTTGATCTCACAGGGAGGTTTGAAGAGTAAATTGTACCTTAGAAGATATCCTGTCCAGAAGCAAGGAGGCTGGGCTGTTTTACACTTATATCTTTCTTTACTGGCTATGGGCCTCAACCTGGGCAAGAGAAGGGGAGTGGTTGGGAGAGGAAAGATGGAGCATAACCTCCTACGGATCTATGCGCTGGGTAGTTCTAGTAAACTGTGATCCATTCTCCAGAGAAAGATAGAGATATTGAACCATTAGCAGTTAACACAGGCGGACGCTGAAGAATTAGCCCAGTAAAGGGGACCTGGACAGGGCATCAGCAGCACCTGCCACAGGCACTTCAGCTTTCCCTTATGTGCTAGTGACTTACCAACAAGTATTACATCATCACATAGCACATCTCATGGTATGCTAGTGTAGGCTTCAGTCAGCTTACGAAAGAGTGATTATGCATCTCTTTTCATAAATGAGTTCATTGACATCTCATTGATAATATTGGCTATGAAGGCACTATTTACATTAAATAAATTTGCAAATAGAACAATTCAGAATCCTGTTCCTCAGAGCTGGTTGGTAAAACTTCTGCCAGCATATCTCTGCACTTAATCCCTACAATAATTTTATAAATGAGAAACCTGAGTATCAGAGTGATTAATAATATACTTAATATACTTATCTTACATGTAGCTAATAAATTATATAAATTGGAACTAAAATTTAGTTGTGTCTGATTCCAGAACTTGGACTCCTACTGTTACAGCACATAGCTTCTTCTAGAGGATAGAAACTAATCTCCTTTAAATCTTTTGAGAGACTTGTCTAGATTTCTAGGTGATCCTGAATGCATTTTGGTCACCATCATCGTGTACTCCAAGTTAATGACTTTATTAAAGACATTCCACCAATAAATAGCACTCCTAGGACTCTTCACTGTGTCATTTTGCCTCTGTTTTAAACATTGTGTTATTTCTGTTTTCCTGACTGCTGTCCCTGGAATATAAAATGAATCCAGTAAATATTTGTTGCATGAATAAATGATGACCTTTTAGTATAAAAATCAGGTTTTTCCATGGGATTATTCAATAATTACATAAAGGGCAAATAAACATACTTTTCCCTAATTATAGGTTTAAAATTCTCTCTCTGTGCCTCTGGATGATGTGGGATATACTACATGTTGAGTCAGAGTTGATAAATACTTGAAATAGGCATAACTTACTCTCAAGTAACTAAGGTGTTTTCAGTGCTTTTTTTTTTTTTTTTTTACATATAAGGGCAACACACACTATACAATTCTTCAGTCTCATCCTGTGTTGTTAGAATATGCAGTTAGTTGAATGGTTAAGCTAAATTTTAGTCCTCATATAGACTTGAAAACTGTGGTGTGGAATTGATTCCTTATGTTGTGCTTTTATTTGTATTTCTGAAGCAAGGGGAAGTCAGGCTGAAGTGTTTGAAAGCTCTACAGAGTCTGTATACCAATAGAGAATTATTCCCCAAATTGGAACTATTCACTAACCGATTCAAGGTAAGCATCAAGAATGATAAGCTTATTTAATTTTTCTCTTTACAAATGCTAGTTACAGCTAGTTTAGCAAATTACATTATCATATAAGTGTTTAGTTCATATTCTTTATTACAGCAGTCCCCAGCCTTTTTGGCACCAGGGACCAGTTTCATGGAAGACAGTTTTTTCCATGGACCGAGGTGGGGGTTGAGGGGATGGTTTCAGGATGATTCAAGTGCATTACATTTATTGGGCACTGTATTTCTGTTATTACATTGTAATATGTAATGAAACAGTTATACAACTCACCACAATGTATATGTTTGCACAATCATTGCAGCCCTGAACTTGTTTTCCTGCAACTAGATGGTCCCATCTAGGGGTAATGGGAGACAGTAACAGATCATCAGGCATTAGATTCTCATAAGGAGCACACAACGCAGATCCCTTGCATGCACAGTTCACAATAGGGTTCATGTTCCTGTTGTTCCTATTGAAAATCTAATGCCACTGCTGATGTGACAAGAGATGGAGTTCAGGCGGTAGTGGGAGTGATGGAGAATAGCTGTAAATACAGATGAAACAACTTCGCTGGCTCACTTGCTCACCTGCCACTCACCCCTTGCTGCGTGGCCCAGTTCCTAACAGGCTACAGACCAGGCTTGGGGACCCCTGCTTTTACTACATGTTTTTTAAATAAACTCATATGAAATAGATAAGTGAATCTCTGCTTTACAAAAGATATTACCATGAGTTCTTATTTATTACCTTTGGAAGAAGGTTCACCTGCTTAATTTTCTTTACAGCTTTTTATAAAGATAGTAATTTTGTAAGTTAAGGCTTACCTGATACAGGGTTTAGGGAATAGCAATTGTTGAGAAAGGTTTTAAATTACAAACATTTATACTAATATCCCCTTTGTGTGAGTAGGACTATGATACTGCAGTTTCAAGAGTAAAGCTTTTTCTTTAACCGATCATTAGTATTGCATATATATCCCAGAATACATTATATTAGGTCTGTCCCAGCTTATTTTCTGTTCATAGTTGGTTTGTTTTACGACTTTTTTTTCAGGATCGCATTGTGTCAATGACACTTGATAAAGAGTATGATGTTGCTGTGGAAGCTATTCGATTGGTTACTCTGATACTTCAGTAAGTAATATCTATTACTGTTTTAACTTTATTGATATTTTAATGCTTTTTCCCCAGGATTTTTAATGTCCTATCTATGTATAGTCCTTATGTATGTATTTATCATTTTAGGTTCTACTTCTACGTTTTAAGATTAGATTTAAAACAGTGTTTTCTGTTTTTTTCTGTTTTTGTTTTTTATTTTAACTATTGTTTACTTCTTCCACATAAAAATTACCTAGAGAAAATATCAATGATGTAACTTACCTTTCTGTTTAAAACAAAGCAGGTCCAGTATGTTGGCTCCTACCTATAATCCCAGCATTTTGGGAGGCTGAGGTGGGAGGATCACTTGAGCCCAGAGGTTCAAGAACAGCCTGGGCAACATAGAGGAGACCCTGTCTCTACAAATAATAAAAAAAATTAACTGGCATGGTGGCACATGCCTGTTGTCCTAGCTACTTAGGAGGCTAAGGTGGGAGGGTAGCTTGAGCCCAGGAGGTCAAAGCTGCAGTGAGTCGTGATGGAGCCACTGCATTCCAGCATAGATGATATAGCAGGACCCTGTATCAAAAATAAATGAATGAAAGAATGAATGAATGACTCAGAGAGAAAGAAGGCTGCAAAAGGAAGAACCCTCAAAGGGACAGTTTCCCAAATAGGCTTTTTTTTGGAATTATATAGAAGAAAAAAATAAAGCAATTAAATAGTCTCACTAATATGATAGAGATTTCAAAATAGAAATGTTATAGCTGTATTTCTACGGGTTTGACTAAAAACTAGATAGAATCTATGTGAGAGAATATATCCTAGCAAAGTCTTACATAACAAATCCTCCTCTTCCTATTTTGTGATGGTACATCTATCACGAACTAAATATCTATGCGGGGATCTACTGTTGTTTGAAATCCTTTTACATTTTGGCTCTAACACTGTGCTCTTTATTATTGTGGCTTTATAATACATGTTCTAAATATGGGGTCGTTTTCTCCTCTTTGTCTTTTTTTTCAAAATCTACTTACCTTCTTATGGCTGCTTTTTGTTTGATATGAATTTTAAAAATATACTTGTCAAGTGCCTCAAAAACCCTGCCTGGGATTTTGAATATTGGAACTCCATTGACTTTTATGATAAATTTAGGAGAGTTTAAAGTGCTTTGTTATGTTATATCACTTACGCATGAACATGCTGGAATTCTCCTCTTTTTTAAAGAGAAGAATTCTTACTGTATTGCTTGTGCTGGAGTATATTAACAGATGTGATCATGGCACATTAAAACTGCTAACTCCTGAACTGAGGTGATCCTCTTTTCTTAGCCTCACAAGTAGCTGGGATGGCAGGTATATACCTCCATGCCCAGCTGGATTTCTTTTTTTAAATATCATTAGGTCTTAATGGGTTTAATTTTCTCATAGAGGTTGTGCATTATTTAGTAAGTTAATTCTGAAATACCTTATGCTATTTTTGTTAGAATAGTATTTAGTATTTTCTGCTTGGTTATTGCTGAGGAAGAGAACCTTTAATTTTTGTGTTGGTCTAGTATGTGGACCCTATTTGAACTCTTAGGTTCTGAGTTCCAAAATGCATTCTAGTAGTTTGTTGATTTTGTTGATTTTAGTATGTAGATTATCATATAACCTGCAAACAGTTTCAGTTCAGTTTTGTCTCTTCCTTTTCCTTTTTTTTTTTTTTTTTTTTTTTTTTTGAGACAGAGTCTTGCTCTGTTGCGCAGTCTAGAATGCGGTGGCGTGGTCTCAGCTTACAACCTCCACCTCTTGGTTCAAGCGATTGTCCTGCCTCAGCCTCCCAAGTAGCCGGGATTACAGGCACATGCCACCAAGCCCAGCTAATTTTTATATTTTTAGTAGAGACGGAGTTTCACCATGTTGGCCAGGCTGGTCTCGAATCCCTGACCTCAAGTGATCCACCCACCTGGACCTCCTAAAGTGCTGGGATTACAGATATGAGCCACCATGCCTGACCTGTCTCTCCCTTTTCTAACCTTGTAACTTTTATTTCATTCTCTTGTCTGATTGCATAGACAGCACCTTCAGCACTGTAACAGTGTCACTGATAGCTATTCCCGTTCTTGTCCTAGGAAATCATTTAAAATTATTTGTTTCTGTCATAGATTTTAATATGATAGAAGCTCCTTTGCATTCTGAGTTTTCTGGGGTTTTTGTTTCATTTACGTGCCTAAGTTAAATTAATAGACTTGTCTAATGGTAAACACTATTGCATTGCTAGAATAAATTTTTTTAACATGATATATTTTGTTTTATTTAAATGCAGTATTATATTTAATATCTTAGGATTTTACGTTCGTGTTGATGAGTAAATTTGACATTTTTTTCTTGTCCTTTTCCAACTTCAAAATCAAGGTTGTAGTCTTGTATTCCCTTTGTAAAATACCTTTTTTTTTTTTTGGAGACAGAGCCTTACTCTGTCACCCAGACTGGAGTGCAGTGGTATGATCTCAGTTCACTGCAACCTTCACCTCTCAGGTTTAAGAGATTCTCATATCTCACCCTCCCGAGTAGCTGGGATTATAGGCACGCACCATCACGCTCAGCTACTTTTTTTATTTTAATAGAGATGGAGTTTTGCCATGTTGGCCAGGTTGATGTTGAACTCCTGACCTGAAGTGATCTACCCACCTCAGCCTCCCAAAGTGCTGGGATTTCAGGCGTGAGTCACTGAGCCGGGCTGTAAGATACTTTCAATAGTTTCTTGCCTTTTTTTTTTTTTTTTCTCTTCTGAAAGAAGTGTCCTAAGACAGAGATTAATTATTTCTTGAAACTATAAGAGAATTATCTTATTAAAACTGTGACAGTCGATTTCTTTCTTTTTTTTCTTGGATACAGAGTCTCACTAAGTCACCCAGGCTAGAGTGCACTGGCGCAATCTCGGCTCACTGCAACCTCTGCCTCCCAGATTCAGGTGATTCTTATGCCACAGCCTCCCGGTAGCTGAGGTTACAGGCACGTGGCATCACGCCTTATTTTTGTATTTTTAGTAGAGATGGGACTTCACTATGTTGGCCAGGCCCGTCTTGAACTCCTGACCTCAAGTGATCCACCTCCTCGGCCTCCCAAAGTGCTGGGATTAACAGGCGTGAGCCACCCTGCCCAGCCAGTTTTTAATTTCTTTTGTGCAAGAGGTCTGTTATCATTTCTATTTCTTCCGTGGTTAACCATCTAAATTAAATTCTATTGGCTGAGCGCAGTACCTCATGCTTGTAATCCAAACACTGTAAGAGGTTGAGCCGGGCAGATAACTTGAGGTCAGGAGTTCGAGAGCAGCCTGGCCAACATGGTGAAACCCCATCTCTACTAAAAATACAGAAAATTAGTCGGGTGTGGTGGCAGGCACCTGTAGTCCCAGCTACTCAGGAGGCTGAGGCAGGAGAATCACTTGAACCCAGGAGACGGAGGTTGCTGTGAGCCGAGATAGGGCCACTGCACTTCAGCCTCTGCGAAAGAAACTGTCTCAAAAAAAGATAATAATAAATAATTAATTAAATGTTATTTCTTTTGTGTTACTGTTGACATTTTTGCAAACTTTTAAAAATGTTTTATCACAGTTTTATAATTTTATAGTTCATGATCTTCTTATTACTTTCCAAGACTCATTCTTTCTTAATTCTTTTCATCCTCTATTTTATTCGTATTCTCTTTTTCTTCATAAGTTATGTCAGGTTTGTCCATCTTACTGTTTGTAAAGAACCAGGTTCTTTTAGCTCATTTGTTTTTTGTTTTCTAATAACTATATCTAAAGTAATAAATACACCTTTAAGTACTCATGTATGTCCTAAAAATTTAGACATGTAGTATTTTAATAGACAATAATAAATAAATGTCTGTGAAACCTTTAATTACCTTTGTGGTTTCCAGTGTAATTGCAGGTTACTTGGAAGTATGTTTTTATTCTACCCAAATTTTTTTTTTTTTTTTTTTTTTGGAGACTGAGTCTGGCTGGCTCTGTCGCCCAGGCTAGAGTGCAGTGGCACAATCTTGACTCACTGCAACTTCTGCCTCCCAGGTTCAAGCGATTCTCCTGCCTCTGCCTCCCAAGTAGCTGAGGCTACAGGTACACATCAACACGCCTGGCTAATTTTTGTATTTTCAGTAGAGATGGGGTTTTGCTGTGTTGGCCAGGCTGGTCTCTAACTCCTGACCTCAGGTAATCCACCCTCCTTCGCCACCCAAAGTGCTGGGATTATAGGCATGAGCCACCGCTCCTGGCTCTAAGATTTTAAGCTGTAGAAGAAGGCCAGACGCAGTGGCTCATGCCTATAACCCCAGCACTTTGGGAGGATGAAGCAGGTGGATTACCTGAAGTCAGGAGTTAGAGAACAGTCTGGCCAACATGACGAAACCTCGTTTCTACTAAAAATACAAAAAATTAGCTGAGCGTGGTGTTGGGTGCCTATAATCTCAGCTGCTCGGGTGGCTGATGCAGGAGAATCACTTGAACCCGGGAGGCAGAAGTTGTGGTGAACCAAGATCATGATGTTGCACTCCAGCCTGGGTGACACAGCAAGACCCTGTCTCAAAAATAAATAAATAAATAAATAAAAAGTAGAATAATTGTTGGCATTTTATTTTCTTCTTGTTGAATCTTTATTTTCTGAATTTTATGTTATTGTCTTTTATACTAAAAGGAGAAACATAACTTTCAAAGTAAGATAAAAGATGAGACAAAAATTATTAAGCCTTGAATTTTATAGTGAACTTTACAAAGTTTAAATAAAAGTAAAACTGAAAATAAACATTTGCTTTAGATCAGATGTTACTTTCTGTATTTTTCAGTGGAAGTGAAGAAGCTCTTTCCAATGAAGACTGTGAAAATGTTTACCACTTGGTGTACTCGGCACATCGCCCTGTTGCTGTGGCAGCTGGAGAGTTCCTTCACAAAAAGTGAGCTGATTATCTTTGAAAACAGATTCTACTTTTCTATGTTGTTTTGTTGTTGTTTTAGAGTTTGTAGGAGAGAGTAATAGTGACTGAACACAGTGCTGAAAATGTCCATCTCATACTCTGAGGGCTATAACAGCCTCATAGCCTATGTATACATTATGAATCACACCCTTGAGGATGCTGTACCTTGTGACATACTCCTTTTTTCTGAAATCTGAGAGGATGATTCTCAGCTAGATGTGAGTGGAGATTGGAGGAGTGCATGAAACTTATAAAAGCTAACATAATTGATAATTCATCACTAGTTTTTTCTTTAAAATTCTGAGATTTGATCTTACTTTCTCAACATTTGTAATCTAAATGTGAAGCAGTATCACCTTTAAAATGCCTCCCAAGTTTTAATGTTTTTTCATTTTCTCCATTATGATGATTGATTATTTATTTATTTTTTATTTTTTTGAGATGGAGTTTCGCTCTTGTTGCCCAGGCTACAGTACAGTGGCACAATCTTGACTCACCACAACTTCTGCCTCCCAGGTTCAAGTGATTGTCCTGCCTCAGCCTCCCAAGTAGCTGGGATTACAGTCATGCACCATCCTGCCCGGCTAATTTTGTATTTTTATTAGAGACAGGGTTTCTTCATGTTGGTCAGGCTGGTGTTGAACGCCCGACCTCAGGTAATTCGCCTGCCTCAGCCTCTCAGAGTACTGGGATTACAGACGTGAGCCACCACACCTGGGCATGATGAGGATTATTTTAATCAGTAATTCATAGTAATTCTGAAAATTTTATATATATATAGTTGCAGTTAATTTTTTTTAAACCTTATTTTTTGGTAAAGCATAAAGCTAATGAGAGTATATGCATGTGAACACTTAGGAAGGACATTTTTTATTGTGATTTACTGTATATGTTGTATAATTAGATTAGTTCATTCTGTAAAACATTTTAAAATATATATAAGTGTGTGTGTGTGTATACATATATATATATTTTTTTTGAGAGATGGGGTCTTGCTATCTTGCCCAGGCTGGTCTTGAACTCCTGGCCTCAAGTGATCCTCCCACCTCAGCCTCCCAAAGTGTTGGGATTACAGGCATGAGCCACTGCACCTAGCTGATTAATTCATTTTTAAACTATAAACATATTGTTGGTTATATGTGTATATCTTTTGCTTTGCCTTGTGTTTTGTTTTTTTGTTTATGGATTTAAATTACTAGCTTTGAATAATATTCACAGGTGATTACAAAAGTTTATTATATATGCTAACTTCGTATTATGCTGAAATACAAATATAAATCATGGACTAGGCAACTGCTGTGCATCAGTGACTAACTTTGATTATGAGCAGGCCTGGCCTCTATCCAGTATCTGCATTCAGTGCTACAATAAAAATTGTTCTCTACTCACTTGTACCTTTCAAAGTGAGAAAAGTTATTTGAGTGTAAGAAATCTCTGTTAAGAAAGAAACCAACTACTTACTGTGCATGCTGGCAATGAAAATGAAGAGGAAGAAAGTCAAGGTTTTCAGGCATGACTTAAAATAATATTGAATTTCCTAGTGACTCTGACACCTCTGGCTAGTAGAATAATGCTGATTTTATATTTATCTTTGGATGTTGTCTGTCACCGATATCAAGGAGGTACTGTAGCCTTTCTTTTTTCAGGATTATTATATTCTAATTAGTCTATTCTCCACTTAACTTGTCAAAGAACTTTGTGTTTTTAGAAATAATTTGTTGTTTCTGTGGTTTCAGAGAGAAAATAAACTTGAGATGGGTTCTCTGTATAGTAGAAGCCATAAACTGGTAACTCTTGAGTTAGAAAAGGTCTTAATTAGAATGTACTTATTTTATATCTGTATTATATTTTTCTATGTTTGAAATATTGGCTAAATTTTTTATACTTTAAAAATTGATAGACATTTATAGAGTACATGTGATATTTTGATACATGCATCTAATGTGTAATGGTCAAATTAGGTAAGTAGGATATCCATCACCTCAAATATGTATTATTTCTTTGTGCTGGGAACTTTCCAAATCTTCTATTAATAGCTATTTTGAAATATTCCATAAATTATTGTTAACTATAGTCACCCTACTGTGCTATCAAACACTAAAACTTATTTCTTCTAACTGTATTTTTGGACCCGTTAACCTCTCTTTATTCCGCCCTCTGGTAGCAATCATTGTACTGTGCCTCCAGGAGATCAACCTTTTTTTAACTCCCACATATAAGTGAGAACATGAGATATTTGTCCTTCTGTGCTTGGCTTAATTCACTTAACATAAGGTCATCTAGTTCCATCTGTGTCACTGCAAATGACAGGATTTCCTTTTTATGGCTAAATAATATTCCATTGTGTATAAATACCACATTTGTTTATCCATTCAAACGTTGATGGACACTTCGGTTGATTCCATGTCTCACTACTATCAATAGTACTGTACTGAACATGGCAGTGCAGATATCTCTTTGATATGCTGATTTTTTTTTTCTTGTAGATATATACTTAGCAGTGGAGTTGCTTGATCATATGGTAGATGTTTTTAGTTTTTTGAGGAACCTCCATACTGTTTTCCACAGTTGCTATACTAGTTTACCTTCCTACGAACAGTGTACTATCCCCTTTCTCTGCATCCTGGCCAGCATGTTAATTCTTTTGTCTTTTTGATAATAACTGTTGAAAGTGAGGTAAGATGATATCTCATTGTGATTTTGTATTTGCATTTTCTTTGTAATAAATTATGAGAGCACTTTTTTGTATACCAGTTGGCCACTGGTATGTCTTCCTTTGAGAAATGTCTATTCAGATCATTTGCCCATTTGTAAATTGGATTGTTTTCGTTTTTACTAAGGAGTTGTTTGAGTTCCTTATATCCCTTGTCAGATGAATAGTTGGCCAATATTTTCACCTATTCTACAGGTTGTCTCTTTATTGATCCCTTTGCTGTATAGAAACTTTTTTGCTTGATATAATCTCATTTTTCTGTTTTTCCTTTTGTTGCACATGCTATTGAGGTCTTGCCCCAAAACTCTACCCAGACTAATATTCTTAAGAATCCCCAGTGTTTTCTTTCTCTTTTTTTTTTTTTCCAAGACGGAGTCTCACTCTGTCGCCCAGTATGGAGTGCAGTGGCGCAATTTCAGCTCACTGCAACCTCCACCTCCTGGGTTCAAGCAATTCTTCTGCCTCAGCCTCCCGAGTAGCTGGGATTACAGGTACGTGTCACCACACCCGGCAATTCACTACTATTTATTGAAGAAGCAGCTGTCCTTTCCCCACGATATGTTCTTGGTGCCTTTGCCGAAAATCAGTTAGCTGTAACTGTGTGCACTTATTTCTGGGTTATCTGTTCTGTTGCATTGGTATATGTGTCTGTTTTTATGCCAGGATTATGCCATTTGGGGTAATAAGACTTTGTATTATATTCTAAAGTCAGGTGGTGTAAAGCCTCCAGCTTTTGCTCAAGATTGCTTTGCTTATTGTGGGTAATTTGTGGGGCCATATGAATTTTAGGGTTTTTTTTTCAATTTCTATAAAAAATGTCTTTGATACAGGGATTGCATAGAATCTGTATATCAATTTGAGTAGTATGGACATTTTAAACAGTCTTAATTCTTCCAATCCAAGAGCATGAGATGTCTTTTTTGTTGTTGTTGTTGTTTTTGTTTTAAATATCCTCTTCAGTTTCTTTCATCTGTGTTTTATAGTTTTGTTTGTAGAGATCTTTTACTTTGGTTAAATTTATTCCCAGCTGGGTTTTTTTTTTTTTTTTTTTTGGTAGCTGTTGGAAATGAGATTGACTTCTTGACTTCTTTTTCAGATTGTTCACTTTTGCTGTATAAGAATGCTACGGATTTTTATGTCGATTTTGTATTCTACTTTTCATAATTTATTAGTTCTAACAATTTTTTGTGCGGAGTCTGTTTCTGTAAATATAAGATTATGCCATCTACAAACAAAGATAACTTGACTTCTTTCTTTCCAATTTGGATGTCTTTTATTTCATTCTCTTGCCTAATTGCTCTGACTAGGACTTTTAGTACTATGTTGTATAAAAGTGGTGAAAGTTGACGTCCTGGTCTTGAGTTCTTTTTTTTTTTTTTTTTTTGAGACGGAGTCTTGCTCTGTCACCCAGGCTGGAGTGCAGTGGCCGGATCTCAGCTCACTGCAAGCTCCGCCTCCCGGGTTCACGCCATTCTCCTGCCTCAGCCTCCCGAGTAGCTGGGACTACAGGCGCCCGCCACCTCGCCCGGCTAGTTTTTTGTATTTTTTAGTAGAGACGGGGTTTCACCGTGTTAACCAGGATGGTCTCGATCTCCCGACCTCATGATCCGCCCGTCTCAGCCTCCCAAAGTGCTGGGATTACAGGCTTGAGCCACCGCACCCGGCCGGTCTTGAGTTCTTATAGGAAAGACTTTCAACTTTTCCCCATTTAATGTGATTGTAACTGTGGGTTTGTCTTATATGGACTTTATTATTTTGAGATGTGTTTCCTTTGCTAGTTTATTGAGAGTTTTTATCATGAAGGGATGTTGATTTCTTTCAAATGCTTTTTCTCTATTGAGAGGGTCATAAGTTTTGTCTTTCATTCTGTTGATGTGATGTATCACATGTATTGATAATGCATATGGTTAAGCTATCTTTGTGTCCCTGATATAAATCCTGCTTGATTATGGTACATTATCTTTTTAATATGCTGTTAAATTTGGTTTGCTAGTTATTGTTGAGAATTTTTACATGCATGTTTACTGGGGATATTGTCTAATAGTTTTTGTTGTTGTTGTTATTTTGTCTTTGTCTGGTTTTGGCATCAGGGTGATGCTGACCTTATACAATGAGCTTGGAGGTATTCCCTTGTCTTCAATTTTCTGAAATACTTTGAGTAGAATTGGTGTTCTTCTTTAAATGCTTGGTAGAATTCTGCAGTGAAGCCATCAGGTACTGGGCTTTTTTTGTTTGTTTGGAGACTTTTTATTACTGCTTCAATATC